GAGAGAGAGAGAGAGAGAGAAGAAATAATAAGTTTTCAGGGTAATGGGTGTGTCAGTTGCTCTGATCCTGTCCTTATACATTGTATGAATGCATTAAAATGCCACAAAAATATATCTAAGAAGGCAATCAAGATATAATCTATACTCTTGGATATACTCTTGGATAAAACAACTACAACAAAAAGATTCAAGGTGGAGGAGGATGAGGACAGCTGGGCCTGCTGTCAGGAGGCAGCCGAGGCAGCCGAGGTCTTAGCCATTTCCCATGGCCGGGATACAACACCTGACACCCAAAATTTAAAAGAGGAGGGGTTCACTGGGCTCGTAGTTCTCAGTGGATGCAGCCCAAAGTGTGCGGCTCTACTGCAGTCCATGATGAAGACCAAGAGCTCCTCCTACGGCACTCTGCCCCTGCCTACAGCCTGCCTGTTCACCTTTCCTACCACCCCCATACCTACTCCCTTCCCACCCTCCTCCAGCCTCCTTTCCCCCCACCCGCCATTCCACCCCCTAAGCCCAACTTTCTCCTTCCCCACCCATAACCCCAGCTTCCCACCCCACCCCCATGCCTGCCCCCCACCCATGCAGACCCATCTCACTGCCTCCAGGTCTGGGCCTGCCACCAGCTGGGCACTCACCTCCTGCTGTCTCCCCCAGAGGACGGCTACTCCTGTGCCCACCCATCTCTCCACCTGGCCTGCTCCCTTTGAGGGGCTGGGGCAGGCAGCCTGGGTGAGGTAACATGGTGCCTTTCATGAGCATGAAAAACAAGTTTTTCTAATCAACTTGTGCAGTGAAATGGGTAAGAAGAAGGGTACCTTGTATAATGCTAGTCAGTTGCGGTATGAAAGAAGACTGGACCCCTGACCTAAACTGGGGTGGTCCTCACAGCTAGAGGACGGGACGGCTGGTTTCAGTGTGGCTTTGGCCTTGCCTCTTGCAGTCTATTTACAGTTTCAGCTCGTATCTGAGAGTCCTGTACTGGGTTACTTTGTCCTAATGAAACATTAACTCGCCATACTGGCCCAACAAACAGCTTTAGTAAGGAGTGAATTTCCTTCTAGACATCAGTACCTATTTTTTTCTGTAAACTCAATTTTAAACAGTACAGTTCTGGGGGCTGGGGTTGTAGCTCAGTGGCACCACACCTGTCTGGCAAGAACAAGGTCCTAAATTTGATCCCTGGTACTGGAAAAAAGTAAGTAAATAAATAAAATAAACAGTCCAATTCCATCTGAAGTCCAGCTGTTGTTTTTTTGTTCCCATGTTTTGTCCCATGATACCCAGTAGGTCAGATGAACTACCTTTTTCATTTGCAGATATTTGCATGCTTAGTATTAAAATTATTTTGAAGGAAGAAAAAAAAAAAACCAAAAAGAAAACAAAATTTACTGGCTCTGAGGCAGAACAGCATGGTGGAAGAACACAGCTGAGGAAAACTCTTCAACCTAAGGCAGCCAGGAAGCAGAAGAGGGCGAGAGGGAGGGAGAGGGAGATAAAGAAGGAGCAGGGAGGGTGTGCTCCAAAGACACACCCCAAGCCGGGTGTGGTGCCTCACGCCTGTAATCCCAGCACTCAGGAGGCTGAGGCAGGAGGATCGCTGCTAGGAGTTCGAGACCAGCCTGGGCTACATAGCGAGTTCCAGGTCAGTCACAACTACATAGTGAGACCCTGTCTCAAAAAAAAAAAACCCAAAGGCACACCCCAGTGACACACCTCTTCCAACCAGGCCCCACCACCTAGCAACACATTTTAACGATGAACTCATTGGTAGATAGCACTCTCCAGGCCCAGTCACCTTCCAAAAGCCTCGCCTCTGAACACACAGGACTTCTGTGGGGTACTTTAGATCTAAACTGTAACATGGGGACAACTGCCAGCTCAGACAGGGACAAAACCCAAGACCCTCACTCACTTTCCCAAGAAAATTCTGTGAAGAAATGAATATGTTCCTACCTCAGCCTCCCAGGGCCAGGCCTCAGATCACCAAACACCAGGGAAGAGTCGCCAATGGGCTTTCTGGGGACTACACATTGTGGGTTGAACTTTGTCCTGGGGGACATCCTGGGTGGAGAAAAAGGCGAAATCGAGGGAGGCATTTATTTTTTCTTAGCAGGGGGAATTGAACCCAGGGCCTTCACACTGAGTTACATCTCCAGCCCTTTTCTTACTTTTTTTTTTTTTTTTCTTTTTTTTTTTTTTTTTTTTTCTTTCTTTCTTTTTTTGGTACCGGGGAAGAAGTCAGGACCACGCGCTTGAGAGGCACGGGGCGGCACCACTGAGCTAAATCTCCGGCCCTTTTCTTTTTCTATTTTGAGACAGTCTGGCCAAGTCACTAAATTGCCCAGACTGGGCTCCGAACTGGGATCTTCCCTCAGCCTCCCGAGTGCTGGGTTACAGGCACGTGACACCGCACCGGCCAAGCGATCAGGACCCTTGGAGTCCGTCGTCTGCGGGGCCACATCCTTTGTAGGAGCAGAACGCCGCGTCACTCGGTCTCCAGGCACCCTCGGGACGCGAGGTCGGGTGGGAGGAGGCGGTGTCCGGGGTCCCACCCCGCCCGGGGGCGCAGCGTCGCCGAAGCGGCCGGAAG